TGGAGTTAAGGGTTGAGTTAAGAGTTGAGTTAAGGGTTGAGTTAAGGGTTGGAGTTAAGGGTTGAGTTAAGGGTTGGAGTCAGGGTTGGAGTTCAGGGTTGGAGTTCAGGGTTGAGTTAAGGGTTGGAGTTCAGGGTTGAGTTAAGGGGTGGAGTTTAAGGGTTGAGTTAAGGGTTGGAGTTAAGGGTTGAGTTAAGGGTGGAGTTAAGGGTTGAGTTAAGGGTGGAGTTAAGGGTTGAGTTAAGGGTGGAGTTAAGGGTTGAGTTAAGGGTGGAGTTAAGGGTTGAGTTAAGGGTGGAGTTAAGGGTTGAGTTAAGGGTGGAGTTAAGGGTTGAGTTAAGGGTGGAGTTAAGGGTTGAGTTAAGGGTGGAGTTAAGGGTTGAGTTAAGGGTTGGAGTTAAGGGTTGGAGTTCAGGGTTGGAGTTAAGGGTTGAGGTTTGGTTGAGGTCAGATTGGAGTTAAGGGTTGAAGTTCAGAGTTGGAGTTCAGGGTTGAGTTCAAGGTTGGAGTTGGCTTGGAGTTAAAGGTTGAGGTTTGGTTGAGGTCAGATTGGAGTTAAGGGTTGAGTTAAGGGTTGAGTTAAGGGTTGAGTTAAGGGTTGAGTTCAGGGTTGAGGTTGGATTTGATCCCAAATTTTGGATGGAAGTCATTGCACATCTTCATCCTCATCCCCACATCCTCATCCTCACATCCCCACATCCTCATCCTCATCCCCACATCCTCATCATCATCCTCATCACCATATTCTCATCCTCATCCCCACATCCTCATCCCCATCCTCACATCCTCACATCCCCATCCCCACATCCTCATCTTCATTCTCATTCTCCTCCTCACATCTTCATCCCCACATCCTCATCCCCATCCTCACATCCTCACATCCCCATCCCCACATCCTCATCTTCATTCTCATTCTCCTCCTCACATCTTCATCCCCACATCCTCATCCCCATCCTCACATCCTCACATCCCCATCCCCACATCCTCATCCCCATCCTCACATCCTCACATCCCCATCCCCACATCCTCATCCACATCCTCATCTTCATCCTCATCCTGATTCTCAAATCCCCACATCCCCATCCCCACATCCTCATCCACATCCTCATCTTCATCCTCATCCTCATTCTCACATCCCCACACCCCCATCCCCACATCCTCATCCTCACATCTTCATCCTCATCCCCCCATCCCCACCCCCCTGCTCACCCTCCGTGTCCCCGTTCCCAGGTTACAGCGGTAACAGCGGCCGCGGCAGCGGTGCCAACAGCTACTCCGGGGGCGGCTCCTACAACTCGGGCTCCCACGGGGGCTACGGCGGCTCCGGGGGCGGGGGCTCCTCGTACCAAGGTAAGGCAGGTCAGTATTGGCACCCCTGAGCTGCCGGGTTGGGGGTCCTGCTCCAGCTCCACGGTGATCCTAATCCTCCTTCTCCTTCCTCCTTCTTCCTCTTCTTCCTCCTTCTTCCTCATTCCTCCTTCCTCATTCTTCCTTCTTCCTCCTCTTTCTCCTTCTTCCTTCCTCATTACTCCTTCCTCCTTCCCTTTCTCCTTCTTCTTTCCTCATTACTCCTTCCTCTTCTCCTTCTCCTCTTCCTCCTTCCCCTTCTCCTCCTTCCTTCCTTCTCCTTGTCCTCCTTCTCCTTCTCCTCCTCCTTCTCCTTCTCCTTCTCCTTCTCCTTCTCCTTCTCCTTCCTCCTTCCTCCTTCTCCTTCTCCTTCCTCCTTCTCCTTCCTCTTTCTCCTCCTCCCCCTTCTTCCTCCTCCTCCTTACTCCTCCTCCTCCTCATCCTTGTCCTCCTCATCCTTATTCTTTCCTCCTTCCCCTTCTCCTCCTTCCTTCCTTCTCCTTGTCCTCCTTCTCCTTCTCCTCCTCCTCCTCTTCCTCCTCCTCCTTACTCCTCCTCCTCCTCTTCCTTCTCATCCTTGTCCTCCTCATCCTCCTCCTTCCTCCTCCTTCTTCCTTCCCCTTCTCCCCCTCCTCCTCCTCTTCCTCTTCCTCCTCCTGCTCCTCCTCCTCCTCTTCCTCCTCCTTCCTTCCCCTTCTTCCTCCTCCCCTGTCCTCCTCCTCCTTATTCTTTCTTCCTTCCCCTTCTCCTTCTCCTCCTCCTAATCTTTGTCCTCCTCCTCCTTCCTCCTCCTCTTCATCCTCCTCCTTCCTCCTTCTTCCTCCTTCCATCTCCTCGTCGTCTTCATCCTCGTCCTTCTCCTCCTCCTTCTCTCCTTCCTCCTCCTCCTCCTCACTCCTTCTTCCTTCCCCTTTTCCTCCCCCTCTTCCTTCTCCTTCCTCCTCCTCCTCCTTCCACCTTCTCGTCTTCATCCTCCTCTTCCTCCTCCTCCTCCTCCTCCTCCTCCTCCCCCCTACAGGCGGATACTCCTCTCAGTCCAACTACAACTCCCCGGGTTCCCAGAACTACAGCGGCCCCCCCAGCTCCTACCAGGCGTCGCAGGGCGGATACGGCAGGAACGAGCACAGCATGAGTTACCAGTACAGATAAACCCCCGTTCCTCCTCCTCCTCCTCCTCCTTCCCTCCGGATCCTCCGGATTTTATCCCCTTTTTCCCATTTTCCCCCTTTTTTCCCCCAAAATCCCCTTGCTCTGTGTGACCCCGTCACCTCCGGGCCTCTATTTAATGGGTCGTAGTTGCCACGACGACTTGGTTTAAATAGGATTATTATTATTATTTTTTTTTGTGGGGGGGGGAGGGGGTGTTTCGTTTTTTGGGGGTTTTTTTTTTGAGGTTTTGGGGTTTTTTTGGGGTGTGGGGAAGTCGATCCGATTCCGGAGCCTTTTCCCAGGCCCCGGCGAAGGGAGGGGCCCTCGTTGTTCTGCTTTTGTGAAGTGCGTTAAAAAGGAGCTTTTTTCGGTATTTTTTGGTGGTTTCAGTTTGGTTTTTTGGGGGAAGGGGTTGTGGGAGGGGGGTGGAGATGAATAAACCCCCAAATTTGGGATGGTTCAGGCTCCCGATGCATCGTTGTGCAAATCCAAAGGTTCAAAGTTTGGAGGAGTCTCATAAAAATAACCCCAAATTCCGAGTGTTGGTTCGTTAAAATCCTTAGGTTCAGAACTGGGGCTGAACTGGGGCCAAACTGGGGCTGAAATGGAGCCAAACTGGGGCTGAAATGGGGCTGAACTGGAGCCAAACTGGGGCTGAACTGGAGCCAAAAGGGGGCTGAAATGGGACCAAACTGGAGATGAACTGGAACAAAACTGGAGCTGAACTGGGGCAGAACTGGGACTAAACTGGGACTAAACTGGGGCTGAACTGGAGCTGAGCTGGGGCTGAACTGGGACAGGACTGGGGCTGAACTGGAGCCAAACTGGGACAGAACTGGGGCTGAACTGGGACAGGACTGGGGCCAAAATGGGGCAGAACTGGAGCTGAACTGGAGCTGAGCTGGGGCTGAACTGGAGCCAAACTGGGGCCAAACTGGAGCTGAACTGGGACCGAACTGGGGCTGAAATGGAGCTGAACTGGGGCAGAACTGGAGCTGAACTGGGACCGAACTGGGGCTGAATTGGAGCTGAACTGGAGGTGAACTGGGGCTGAATTGGCGACAAACTGGGGCTGAACTGGAGCTGAGCTGGAGCCAAACTGGGGCCAAACTGGAGCTGAACTGGGACCGAACTGGGGCTGAAATGGAGCTGAACTGGGGCAGAACTGGAGCTGAATTGGAGCTGAACTGGGGCTGAATTGGAGCCAAACTGGAGGTGAACTGGGGCTGAATTGGGGACAAACTGGGGCTGAACTGAGGCTGAACTGGAGCTGAGCTGGAGCCAAACTGGGGACAAACTGGAGCCAAATTTGGGCTGAACTGGAGCCGAACTGGGGCTGAAATGGGACAGGACTGGGGCCAAAATGGGGCTGAACTGGGACAGGACTGGAGCTGAACTGGGACAGGACTGGAGCTGAACTGGGACAGGACTGGAGCTGAACTGGGACAGGACTGGAGCTGAACTGGGACAGGACTGGAGCTGAACTGGGACAGGACTGGAGCTGAACTGGGACAGGACTGGAGCTGAACTGGGGTCTCGTGGGTTTTTTGGATGAGCTTGGTGCTGCTGGCTCCAGATCGCTTCGTGCCAGAGCCGGATCCTGGGAAACACCGGGAACAGTTCCTGGAGCGGGGCAGAGCCCAGCAAACCCCGGGAACAGCTCCTGGAATGGGTCAGATCCTGGAAACACCGGGAACAGTTCCTGGAGCGGGGCAGAGCCCAGCAAACCCCGGGAACAGCTCCTGGAATGGGTCAGATCCTGGAAACACCGGGAACAGTTCCTGGAGCGGGGCAGAGCCCAGCAAACCCCGGGAACAGCTCCTGGAATGGGTCAGATCCTGGAAACACCGGGAACAGTTCCTGGAGCGGGGCAGAGCCCAGCAAACCCCGGGAACAGCTCCTGGAATGGGTCAGATCCTGGAAACACCGGGAACAGTTCCTGGAGCGGGGCAGAGCCCAGCAAACCCCGGGAACAGCTCCTGGAATGGGTCAGATCCTGGAAACACCGGGAACAGTTCCTGGAGCGGGGCAGAGCCCAGCAAACCCCGGGAACAGCTCCTGGAATGGGTCAGATCCTGGAAACACCGGGAACAGTTCCTGGAGCGGGGCAGAGCCCAGCAAACCCCGGGAACAGCTCCTGGAATGGGTCAGATCCTGGAAACACCGGGAACAGTTCCTGGAGCGGGGCAGAGCCCAGCAAACCCCGGGAACAGCTCCTGGAATGGGTCAGATCCTGGAAACACCGGGAACAGCTCCTGGAATGTGTCAGATCCCGGGAAACACCGGGAACAGCTCCTGGAGCAGGGCATGGCCTCTCAAACACCCGGAACAGCTCCTGGAATGTGTCAGATCCCGGCAAACACCGGGAACAGTTCCTGGAGCGGGGCAGAGCCCAGCAAACCCCGGGAACAGCTCCTGGAATGTGTCAGGTCCCGGAAACACCCGGAACAGCTCCTGGAGTGAGGCACAGCCCGGCAAACACCGGGAACGGGGCTTGGAATGTGTCAGATCCCGGAAACACCCGGAACAGTTCCTGGAGCGGGGCACGGCCTCTCAAACCCCCGGAACAGCTCCTGGAATGTGTCAGGTCCCGGCAAACACCCGGAACGGCTCCTGGAACAAGGCACGGACTCTCAAACACCAGGAATGGCATCTGGAGCAGGGCACGGCCCAGCAAACACCGGGAACAGCTCCTGGAATGTGTCAGGTCCCAGCAAACACCGGGAACGGCTCCTGGAATGTGTCAGGTCCCGGGAAACCCCCGGAACAGCTCCTGGAATGTGTCAGGTCCCGGGAAACCCCCGGAACAGCTCCTGGAATGTGTCAGATCCCGGCA